CTCCGCAGCCCCTCACAGCCCCAAATGCAGCCCTGTACACAGCCCCTTACAGCCCCAAATGCAGCCCTGAACGCAGGGTAAACGAATGGGGCATTCGCCACTCCACCCGCTTGTTTTTGGGGAGGATGTGTCCTGTTTGCTGGTTCTGGGTTCATTTTACGTCTCTCCCGAAAGCAGTCTTCTCCAGAGCAGAGTTTGAGTTTGATGGTATCTGCTTTGCGCTGAAACAAGCTCCCAGACGCGGTGTGGGTTGTGCAGAGCCGTAGCTGTGTGCAGGACGCGCACAGGGATCTGTGCCTTGGCAGCCTGGGACGTGCCCTGCCCGCAGGGACCAGCGCCTCCCACCCTGCAGGGACCTGGGATCTCCCCCCTTGATCCCGCACTGGTGGGACCTGGCAGGAGGGTGGCACCGTCCCCTGTTCCCTCGGTGTCTGTAAATGAACCCCGGGAGAGCTCAGATCTCAGCGAAAGCGGGTCCTTGTGCTCGCGGCAGCGCGATGGGACGTTTATGGGGTTAGGCAAAGTGTCCCGCAGAGCAGCGGAGCGGGGTCTCGCTGCCAGGTCACGTTTTGTGAAGCGGGCTGGGCACACGTTCGCCCTCGCGGGGTTACGAAATCGGCCACCGGGCAACCCGAGCAGCTGATGGAGAGGGAAAATATTGCTGTTATTGTTTGCATTGTTCTTCGCACACTGGCTCCTTTTAAATCGCAAAGAATCGGGCTTTGTTCCCTGCAGTTACAGAGCATGGAGTACTCCTGTTCCAGCTCGGTTGCCCTTCAAAAAATATGAGAGACCCAGTTCAACATCCGCATAGTTTTTGAAGGGAGTTTTTCCTTCTATGGCAAATGCTTTAATCCCTTTTTGCCTGAATTAAAGCACGAGATTAGGGTTAATGGACATTTTCTTGTCCCTGGCAAGTTACCTTTAATTCTGACAATTAAGCAGAAGAAGTGGAGTCAAATACTGAGTTGTCCCAAGCACGGTGTGAAGGTGCTGCACCCTTAATGCGGTGCCCGGCCCCTGCAGAGCTGCAGCCAGGGACACTGCTCCTGCTCCGTGTGCTCCAGTCGGGCTCTGGCTCCACATTCGGGTGTCAGCGAACGGGGGACAGAAGGATGGGGTGAGCCAAGGTGGATTTGGGTGCATGTAGGGTACCATGTACCTCATGTACCAGGTGCCCGCTGAGCACGTTGGCCTCTGTCAGAGCATGAGGGAGCCCCAGCCGAGCTGACTGCGGGTCCTTGGGGTGGTGCCTGCGCAGCACCAGGCCCCTCGCGTCTTTGAAACGCTCCTCTTTGCCATGAAGACGTTTCCCGTGAATGGTGGCCATAGATCAAACAAGGTAGGATGTTGACACAGCTCTCGGCAGAGCCATTCATCTGCTCCTGCGATGTTCCACTTCACTACATTAATTCCCTTTGCAGTTTTCGGCGTTGTTGAGCATCGTGTAAGCAAATATTTTAAACAGCTTGTAAGCGTTTCCTCGGTACGTCCTGTAACGCCTTTGCCAGGGTCACCCGGCGCTGGTGCTCACTCACCCCGTTTCCCTGTCTTCAGCCCAACAGGGGGACCAAGCGGCCCCGTGACGAGGAGGAGGAGGAGATCAAGGCCCGTCGGAAGCAGGGCAGCGCGCGGGAGCACCCCCGGCACCGGGAGGAGGAGGCGGCTGCGCTGGAGGAGACCGACGACGAGAAGAAGAAACTCGTTCAGATACTGGAGAGGGATGGAGAGGAGGAGGAGGAGGAAGTAAATCCCCAGTGCTGTGCGGGAACAGGGAGGGGAGAGGAAATGCTCAGTCACTGCTCTGTGGTTTCCATCTCTTACTGAGTGGGTGGTGGGGCTGACTGGGATCTGCTTGTGCCTCGCACAGCCCTTGGTTGTGGCTTTGTGTGGGGTGTCCATTAATCACGAGTGGCTCTTCTCAGAGATTCCTCTGAGGATTTGAGAGTGGGGGGGCGAAAGGGGAAGGGAAAACTGCCGACTGTCTCTGTTTTAGCTGGGAATGCCCGAATCCCCTTCTAAAACACATTTTTGGGATGCAGTTTCTGTGTTCTCATCAGAACCCGACCACGCAGCTTCGCCCACCGCCCCCCCGCGCTGTGCAGCAGCAAATAAGCAAACGTCCTTCGTACAGCAAAGGTCTTGGGTCAGAGCGGGGGGGCGACTGTCGAGGGTAAATGATTTCAAGCCTCAGAGACAGAAATCCAATGCAGCATTGGCCTTTCTGCCAGGGGCCAGGGAAAAGATCACTTTATAAACGTGACACATGGATTGGTATAAATCTGGAAGAGATTTGCTTCCTGCTGCCTGTGTCCTGCCTGATAAAAGCCAGGTGCCGTTCACCTCTGCAGAGTCGTGCAGGTTTGTAAAGCATCCCTGTCCTTTGTGTACAGCATCGCCAGCGCTCGTCTCTGGAAATCTGCCTCTTGTTGATGCTGAGCTATGGCCATGGCAGTTGTGGCTGAGAGCGGAGGAAGATCACGCAGGGTTTCTGGAGTGTTTGAGCCCGGGGAGGATGCAGGGACGTAGCCAAAACTCCTCTTGACTGGCTCAGCTCTTGGGGGTCCTGCAGCGTCCCAGTCCCCCTGTGTGCCAGGTGGGGTTGAGGGCTGAAGGCCAAGGTTTCTTTAGAACCAACATCTCATTTATTATCTCGGAGCAGTTAACGTGAGCGCCATCAAAATGTGCTTTGTACCAGCACATCTGATGGGAGGCAGCTGATCTGTGGGCTTCTGTAATGGTGAATGCAAATGAAATCACAGATACAAAGCAGATCCTAATGGCAGCGCTGCAGCAATGCGTGTCAGAGAGAGCAAATAATCCAATAACCTGGAGGGAGGCAGCGTCAGCGCGTGATGGATCTGCGGGGATTGAAATCCCTTTGCAGCGGGACGTGGTTTGGGTGCCGCGGTATTGATCACCTGGGTGGGGTGGTGACAGCAGGGGCTGGGATGCAGGAAATCCAATAGCAGTGAAGGCCTGGCCTGGTGGGTAATGAGTTTGCTGAGGACGTGGACATTTCCTGTCTCAAACGAGGTTGCTGCTTAGGGCCACGAACCGGAGCATCCTCAGCACCAGACGCAGCTCCTGGTGCGACCCTGAGGGTTGTTCTGAGAAATTCTGTGTAACAGTGGCTGTAACGTGGTCAGACAGGGAGGGAGAGGCCGCAGGAGCAAATCTTTATCACCAGTGTTTTGTTGAGGAAAGTGCCTTAAAATCGGGGAAGCAAGGAAAGGGAGTCGTGTTTGTAGCGTCAGGGGGTGGCTCAAGTCCTGCTGCTGCTGTGCAGTAGATGTACAATGTCAACTGGGCAACACCTCAGAGGGATGTCAAAACCAAAGAGACAGTACTGGAGTATAATACTGATTACTGGTTTTCTTCAGAAAAGGACTAAAATAGACGTGAAAGCTTATCCAAGTGAGGAGAATACAGAACGTAAACTCGGGGCAGTTAAACGTAGACCTGCAGAAAGAAATGGCACAGGGGGCCTCTGCAGAGAGACTGCATGGGCGTAAGCCGCGATTTCCTGCGGTGTGTCAGAACCAGAACCATCCACAGCTCTGTTTTCTGCCCTTCCCGACCTGGTCAGGAGGAGCCGTTGGACGAAAGCTCGGTGAAGAAGATGATCCTCACCTTTGAGAAGAGGTCTTACAAAAACCAGGAGCTGCGGATCAAGTTTCCTGACAACCCCGAGAAGTAAGGCTGTGACCCTTCTCTGTCACCCTTTTCCCTTGGGTTTTAGGGTTTCAGCCCTAAATCAGTTCCTTGAATGCACAGGCGTTTCCAGTTACATAGGGCAGCTACCGCCGTGCACGTCTAAATCGTGTTTGACGCTGGCTCCGCTAATTAAAAGCGGCATTACCGACACTGGTGGTGGCTGGCGTGTGGCCGGCAGCACAAGGGGTAATTAGCAACGAAGGGAAATGGCCTCGATTATTAAATTCTGGCTGTTGCTCGTGTGACAGATTGTGAAACGTCAGTACTAAAACTCGAGTCTGGTTTTGCTTTGGGAGCGCACGTTCATCAGGTCTGTTGGTTTTGGCGTCCTGGCTCTCAGACGCGGGCGCTGCCGAGCTCTCCCGGCTGGATGGGGCTGAAAGCCAGACCTGTGTTTCTGGTGAGCCTCTTCCTCCTCCGTGGAGCTGTGCTACTTGTGCTCGTTTAATTTCCTCCTGCACTGGAGTGCTGCTGTTTTTTGCCCAGTTTCCTCTTCTTTCCCTTCCCCAAGTTCTTTTTATGGACTCCGGTTCAGACTGATGTGTGGTAGCTAGGGAAGGTGCATCACTCTGGAGAATTACCTTGTGTGCAGGTTGGGTTTTCTATGTGTAGCTACAGCCTTGATTTTTTAAAATATTCTTTACAAATTCTATACCTGATTTACAGAATCGGAGCAAATCCACTTCTTTGCTCTGTGTAAATGATGTAAGACCCATCCTACTGCGTGGCTGAACTGCGCAGGGCAGGCACAGGGCAGGATGAGGCAGGAGGTCTGTCCCGGCGATGCTGACGTGACCACAGCAGACCAGAGATGACAGGGCCATGCACAGTTGGGCTGTCAAACCTTCCTGGGGAGGTGGGGGTGTCTTTTTGGAGAAGGGCTGGGCACTGAGCACAACCGACGGACCTTTTTATGGACCGTGTTTGTCTCTCTCAGGTTCATGGAGTCCGAACTGGATTTGAACGACATCATTCAGGAGATGCACGTGGTCGCGACGATGCCGGACCTGTACCACCTGCTGGTGGAGCTGAACGCGGTGCAGTCGCTCCTGGGGCTGCTGGGACACGACAACACCGATATCCTTCGGGTGACAGCAGCTCTGGTGGCAGAGGCTTTCTGCAGCCCTTGCTGTAATCCCCCATATCCTGCTTTCTCAGCCTCCTGCCTGCGTTTTTCTCCTCTTTCCCACCGCACTGAATTTATGTCATCTGTTTTGTTTTTTTTTCCAAGTGAAAGCCTCCTTTGTTCAAGAAATATCGATTCTGATTGTTTTCAGTGCTGTTATTCTCCTTTCTTGTTTTATGGACCTTTCATCTAGGTTTGAGTGGCTGCGTTAGTGTGGGAACAGATGAACAATACAGGAAAAGCTAAAGTGTGGGCTTAGCGGTGGACGGCCTTGAGCCGCCTGCAGGCTCGGGCTGGAGCAGTCCCCGGTGAAAAAGGAACCAATTTGCCCGTGTTTGCTGAGGGCTGAGCTGTCACGTTTCAGCTGTTTGCCATGAACTGGCTCATCACGGCTCAGCTTGTAAATGTGATTTATTCTTCATGTGCCCGTGCCTTTAATGGGGTGTGCTCAGCTCGGGCTGCGGGCAGCCCCTCTGGTTGCATGAATCCCAGTTCTTGTGTTGCTGACCCTGATTTCACGTGCACCTATTTGGTGCTCTGAAGATCTGACAACACCTCAGGTGGAGTTTTCTGTCTGTCCTGTACAGATTTTGGTAGTTTTGAACAAAAATGCTGCTGTTTTTTGACTATCCTGGTGCCTTGATGCTGAGCTGTCAGCTGAGAAATGGAACCGTGTGTGGCTTAGCGCTGTGCGGTCTCTGGGAGCAGAGCTCAGCCTGTGCTGTGTGAGGAGTATTGTAGAGTATTCTGCAGCAGGTTCAGGTGGATCTGGGACTTGGGGTCTGCGTCCTGGCACGGCGCTGCAGGGACGTGGGGCTGCAGCAGGCCTTGCTTTGTCCCTGTGACTGATTCCCGGCCTCGGGGTCCCACCTCGTTCTTTACTCCTTTGTGTAAAGGAGCAGATAACGCTTCCCAGCTTTTCTGAGGGGTTTTGAAATCCGCAGCGTGGCAGGGGCTGTTAAGTGCTAAGTGTTGTGGTCTGATGCACGGATCTTGGGTTCCTATTGTAGCGCTTTTCCTTGTAGTGAAGTGCATTAAGAATTCATAATTCATTCTTTCTAAGTGGGCGCAGTGATCGGAAG